GAGTGCTGCATTAATGTTTAACAAGGTGTGACCCACTAAGATTGGGAAGCACTGATAAATGACACAAGCCAAATAAGTTGAGTATGTTCATGAATGAAAAAGGGCTAGTTCTGAAAACTTGAGCTTTTGTTAAAGGGGTAATTTCATTTGAAGGAAAAGTTCTGTGATGCTTTAGTGAGTTTCAAGATGGGTTGAAGTCATGCAGGTCATACCAAAGTTAATTAAGGAATGTTCAACTGTTAAAAGAAATATAGAAGGAAAGCATTGTAAAAAGAGCACCCTAAATACATGTTTTGGAAAGTTTAGTGATAAAAATTTGAAATACCAGTACCGTACATGCTATAATATTCTAGTGTGATGAATCCAGGTGTATTGTCTCCTAAAAGCAGCTTGCAAAAAAGGGATTTTAATTTGAATAATTTTTGCAGCCTTACCAGATTTTTTCACACGTAACTTTTTTGCATCTGTAGATGTCTCATTTAGAAAGGGTTTTACTGTCTTTTAGACTGCTGTAAGTTACTCTAAGAGTCTGCTGTCAACAGACTCTGACCTATAAGGTTAGGTAGGGAATGTTAATTACAGTGATTGTAAAGAACTGAAGAAGGCTGCATGCAGTCCAGATTTAGGACACATGTCACTTCTTAACTTTCTGCTCCATTTAAAAAAGAAAAGAAAAAGAATCTATTGTTGAGGCACATTAAATTAAACTTAAGTTCAAAACTTGTAAACAACTGTTTCAGATGGTGTGATTTGTGTTGACAAAGCCAACAATTCATCGTTATTCATCATGTCTGCTACAGAGGAGGAGGTCACAACACTAAAAATGGAGGGGGAACTTGAAGAAGATGAAGAGTCGTCAGAAGAGGGCAGCGAGGAGGACGATGATGAAAGTGATGATGAAGAAGGAATAGATGATGGTGAAGAAGTTGCAGGTGAAGGTATGTTGATCTATACATATTGCTATGCGGTTTATTATTCATATGCTGCCAAGAAGTCGAGTCTATTCCTATGCACTTATTTTTATGTAACATTCTTATACCAGTAAAAAATTTTATGTATTTCAAAAATTGCACTCAAGCTGACATCTGGACACCTTAAAGGTATAAAAATATATTCCTTGATATGAGGTCTGACAAACAACAGCCATGTAGAGCTATTACTAATAAATTAACCTTTAATAGTGTGGAAGATGTATTGAATTATTGCCGATGATGATAGAGCTTTTTTTTTTTTACACAGTTTTATTTAGGTGGGGGGTCCATGCCTGTCCATCTCATTTAAATCTTTTAATCAAATTTTTAACCACTTCCACTTCTACTGAAATTATTTGCTCCGAGTGGGGATATAAACTAAATTAATAAATCCCAGAAGCTATGATCCCTCCGCTAAATAAAACATAGAGCCAGTTATCTCACTCAGAACTTCACTAAACTCTTGGCCCAAGGTGTTGACCACAATGTAGGGAATTTGTTGCACTAAAAATAAACCCAACAAAATATTGAACGTGTGGTCACAGCATCAAGCTAGAAAAAAAAAGAATATTGTCATCACCGAATTTATTAGGAAATGAGTGAAACAAAGAATGGGGAAACACTTCGACATACCTCACATTTCTCACACCCCTTTCCCCCCCCCCCTTCCCACCACCACACACTGTTACACATATGTGACCTCTTGGGTTGAATAGATCATTTATAGATAAACTCAAAGCCTTGCGTTCAACTAATATCTTAATGTATGTGTTATGTCTAACGTTTTACGCGATTTCCCCGTGCGTGAACTTTGCTTGACCTTAAATTAGATTATTAAGCAGACGCTCGATTCATAGATGGGCGGGGCTAGTTCTTTTGATCTGTCGTGTTTAACAATTATACATGGTTAGACTGTCTCCTAGTATCTTGTCGAATGATCTCGATTTGTTCTAGAAATGTAAACAAATGCTGAGTAGGTTCTGGAAGGCAGGGCTTACGCGTCGGTAGACCCACATGTATATAAGGGAGTGACAGATACGGAGAGAGGGAGATACAGATAGATATTATTAACTGTACGAGGTGTGTATTATTCTTTGTATATTTGTGTGCTCATATGTGCTTATTTCGCATTCATCATTATTAATTGGCACATTGTATTAACTGTGTACTGGTACAAGATCTACCATACTGTAAGTTGATGATTTATAATTATATTTCTTTTGTTTTGTCATTGTATTATTACTAAATTAAATCATATTAATTGTAACTGGCAACTGTTTTGGGTGTCGTATCTTTATTATCGTATTTCTATGGTATCGTCCTTTGTTAGGCACTGTTTAAACACACCATAAAATTAAAAATAAGAGATTAATTTCTCACAAGAGAAGCCAGTGCGTAACAGTATGTATTTCAGTTCTTATGAAAAGCAGCAAAAGGAATTAATCAATTATTTATTTAAGTATTTCAAGTCTTGATAATATTCTCCTTAGCTTACCAAAACCGTTTTCACTCATTTCTGTTTTAGATGAAGAGTCTGAGAGTGAGGAGGAAGATGGTGAAGAAGAGGATGAAGAAGATGGGGAAGAAGATGGTGAAACTGGTGATGAAGAGGAGGATGCAGATGATGCTGACGGAGAAGGGGACCAGGATGTAGATGACTCTTCGGGGGATGAGAATTGTGATAGGTGTCCAATCTGTCTCAATCGTCTGCGTAACCAAGACATCGGCACCCCTGAGTCCTGTGACCACTGCTTCTGTTTGGAGTGTATACAGGAATGGGCTAGGGTTCGTCTTCACTGTTTCTTTGCTTGAAAATACCATTTAGACTTTCAGAGAGGCACATAATGGGCATAGCTTTTCACTGTTGGTCCTACCGACATACCTGTGGGTGTAATGAAAAGTCTTGCTGTTAATCAAAATACAAAATAAGACACATTCTATAAAGTAGGGTTAAGCTTTATTAAATGTGAAGGAAGCAATGGCTGTTTATTCTAAAATATTTACTCAGCAGAAAAAAACACATAAATATGTGTACATTAAAATAGAAGTAAAAAAATACATATTCCTGTGAATAATATCTCATTTTATGTTATTAGAGAAAAGAAAAGAAACAAGGTGTGGCCTTTGCGCAGAAAAATTAATTTGAAATGTCTTTTTTGGTAGTAAAAAGAAGTATTGTTAATTACCAACAAAAAATGTTTCAGTTATGCAAAATTGAGATGTGGTTGATGCCTTGAGGTTTTAGTATTACAAATCTGCAATTAATTTATTCCCCAAACTGATTCTTTATTCTTGATATGCCCCTGTAACTAAAGAGCTATGTCAAGAGTGTTGAAATAGATGGACAAAAAGTAACAACTAAAAAATATGTAATGGGTTGCCTTGCCTGTGGTAGAGAGGAAAGAACTTCATTCATTAAAGATATGTTTTCTCAATAGTACATATTTGCCTTTGATATGCAGCTGAAAAATAAATATAATAAATTATTAAATTAAAACTAATTATTCTAAATTATAAACATGACAATTATTCAAAATTCCTCATGCTGTGTGGATTCTTATAATTTTTATCATTGACAATTTTTGAGAGTGTACTTTTTTTTGTTCCCCCCCAGGTAACAAACACTTGCCCAGTTGACCGTCAAGTGTTTCGCATAGTTCTTGCTAGACATGCTGGAGAAGAAAAAATATACAAGCAGGTAAGAAATGGCGTGGTGGGGGGGGCTAAAAATAATTAAATTAATGGTCAACTGATTTGTGAATTATTATAATCAGTTTTTTCAAAAGTTAAAATAAATAAATGTGATAAAAGCAGAATAGATTGGTTGACTTGAGCACCATTGTTGAAAATAGACAATACTAAAAAGTGAATGCCCTTGATTTGAGTTATATTTTACCAAAAGTCTTACCTGATCAGTTTTTAAATTGTTGCATTAAAAAGTAAATGTACTGTTGAGTATAAAATCATGTGGCCCAATGTAATCATGAGGTTTGTTAGAAGTTGACTCTTGGAAGTTGAAAAATTTGAAAATAACTAAAACCGATATGCAGTGAGGTAGACGCAACAGCCACTGATATAATGAACCACATGATAACAGAGAGATGAATACCAACTTTATTTCTCAGTCAAAATGTGGAGAAAACCAAATGGTGTAAATATGAAAGCCACAATCACCAAGGCTCCATTTTATGACATTGGAAAGTATAAAGAAATACTCTTTCTCCATAAAATATTGGCAGTTCATCAGTAAATCATGTTCTATTTTCATTTATTTATAATCTTACCTAGCTTATTCTTTCTGATTTGGCTTTGTGCAACAGTTTCCTGTAGACGATACCAAACAAGATAATGAAGAAGTGGAAGACGACCCAACATTCTGTGAAGTGTGTGGTCAGTCTGACAGGGAGGACAGGCTACTTCTCTGTGATGGGTGTGATATGGGGTAAGAAAGCCCTGATGCATTTACAAACACATAAAATAAATGAGTGGTGCAATAACCTGTTGGGAACAAACACAGTAAATAAATGAGTAGTGCAATAACCTGGTGGGAACTTATTCAGTCAGTTGCAGACTGCACAGCTGGGTTACCCTCCAAAGTTTGTGGAGCACTGCTTGGTGCAATGGAACTATTAACAGGCATAATGAAAATCATGTCCTGGCATTTAGGCACTGCAACCTTGCCCCAGACTGTCAAAGGGATTGAAGATTGAGGCATGTCTTATTTTGATTCATTGCTGCATGGCAAATGATGAGCCAAGGAGCAGAAACTGATTAAGCAAGTAAAAGTGGCTTGTAACCTTATGTTCACTGACTTTATAAGTTACACATTTCTGTGGGTTGCTGAACTTGTATATAAATATTGACATTTTTGTCAGAAATTGATCAATTCAAATCACCTAATAAATCCATGCTGAAAAGATTTAGGACACTTGCAATATTTACATGGTCCTCAGCATTGGTGGTAAATCCCTCAGTTGTATGAAACAATAGTTATGTCTCCCCAGAATAAATACTTAATTTGTTGTGACATTTATGTACAGTTGTTGCTTTGCACTTGGTCCATACATCTGCAATAAACAGAGTTAATTTTTGTGAAGCAAGTTCACCATCTTAAAGCTACTCCTTCCATTTCTCATCAACTTTCATTTCTCTGTTCTTACCATGTTTGTGACTACTACTTCCCAATTCTTTCCAGCTACCACTGCGACTGCTTGGACCCACCACTGGCCAGTGTCCCCGTACAAGAGTGGTTTTGTCCAGACTGTCAAGACAGAAGAAATGCAGGTGAGACCTTAAGCACAGTATTTGATGCTCAGGCATTTGGCCACTGGGTCATGGTTCATTGTTTAAATCCAGGCAAAACCTGAAAGTTTTCAGATGACATCTGCACCACAAAACCTGAAAATTTTCAGATGACATCTGCACCACTAACAAGCTCATTGCTTTGTTAATGTATAAAAGAGAAAACACAGAAACTAAATTTTAAAAAAAATATGGGCACGACTTGTGAAATAAAAAATGTTTTAAAGTTCCAAGGAACATTAGGGAGATATAACTGTTTATTTATGAAATGCACAATATTTCTAGAGATGGATGGATGGAGAAAAAAAAATGCTGTTAGAAAAGAAATCGGCAGAACAGAATGAAGCTGTGTGTAGATATGCCTGTATTTTATTAATGCTTGTTGGTTGCCTTATAGCCCCATGGGGTAAAATTTTTGAGCTGACATTAGCATCTGACTTGTGATGAATAGTTTTTCAGGGGAACTTGTGTAAGTAGTTGGCTATAAATGCCTTGATTTTTGTCATCACTTCAAAAAAAAAGGAATACTTTAAATTATTTTTAATGTCTAACCTTTGTTTGTTTCAGCCACGATTGAAGAACATCAGCATTTTGGCAGACAGATTGCTCGGACAAGGATCAGTGAGCGTGTACGGAGAATCATTGCTGATGCCCGGGCAGAGAGGGCAGAAAGGAGACTTAGAATAGCTCAAATGATTGATGAAAATGAAAGCTTCATGGTATGTTCTAAATAATCAAAGGGCTTTAAATATTATATTTACAGTGCTATCGACTTTAAAAGTTCAATGAATTATCCTAAAGTTTTTCATTTGCGCCCTTTTGAACATTTTTATTTTGGAAAGTAGGTCTTTGTTTAGAAATGATTGACACCTCACCTCTTTCTTCCAGGATCAAGAGCCCACCCCCAGACCATCAACTTCGGCGTCCACATCAGGTACCAGAAAAAAACGGAAAACAACTCGTAAAAGAAAGACAAAAAGAAAAACGACAAGGAAGAGGAAGACAACTAAAAGGAAGACAAAGAAAGGAAAGACAAGGAGGAAAAGAAAGACTACGGGTAAAAGAAAAAGGAAGACAAAGAGGAAAACAAAAAGGAAATCCACATCGGCTTCACCAGGACTGGTAAATTTCTAAGTTTTGTTTTCCATTCCATCTTTTTGTTATTATTGTCATTTTTTTTATAAAACTTGTAGGCACGATACTTGCTGATTTTCAGTGTCATGTTTTTGTTTTTTTCTTCAGTATAAACATATTTCTTTCACCATTGGTTAATTTTCTTTCTACATATATATAATATTTCTACTGATTTGCATTCATTTTCTAGGCCCGCACTGTTCGTGTGTCATCCACCAGTGTCAAGGCTCGAATCGCTGACAAACTAGGGCTTTCCAAGCCTCCTGTCGGCCGGTCAATACCACTTCAGAAGTTACCCACCAATGCCCGGCAGGAGGGTGGTGCAGGCCGGGCGTCAACAGAATATGGAGCAGCTTCATTCTCTATACTGGGCAGCAAGGATGAGCTCTATCTGTTTGCTGAGTATGTTGAAACTGTCAGTTCCTAAAACTGTTATTTTGGCATGAGTGTCACTGACTAGCCTAGGCCATTGTTTAGTTATTGTCTAGTATCACTGACTAGCATAGACCATTGTTTAGTTATTGACTAGTATCACTGACTAGCACAGGTCATTGTTTAGTATTGTCTAGTATCACTGACTAGCATAGGTCATTGTTAAGTTATTCTCTTAGTATCACTGTCTAGCATAGGCCATTGTTTAGTTATTGACTAGTATCACTGACAAGCATAGGTCATTTGTTAGTTATTCTCTTATTATCACTGAGTAGCATAGGCTATGGTATCACTGACCAGCATTTCTAATGGTGCCAAATTCATCTGACATTTAACTCTCAATATATTATAGGAGTGGGGTGGGGACAGAGTTTTGAAAAGTCCATCTTTCCAGGGAAAATGGATGCGCCTCAGGAATGAAAATTGAAACTTTATCAAACGTAATGGGCTTCAATGAAACAAGATGAAACTTCCATAGATCTGTCAATCATGTACAGCCCACCAACAAATTTCTTTAAAATATTTTCAGAGTAATTTCAATATCTGTTTTTTAAGTGTTAACCTCTGTGTTGCAAGTCACCTTCTTAACATACCAAACACAAACTATTTTGTTGACACCCTCCTTCATAACATACCAAACACGAACTATTTTGTTGACACCCACCTTCATAACATACCAAACATGAACTATTTTGTTGACACCCACCTTCATAACATACCAAACACGAACTATTTTGTTGACACCCACCTTCATAACATACCAAACACGAACTATTTTGTTGACACCTACCTTCATAACATACCAAACACTAACTATTTTGTTGACACCCACCTTCATAACATACCAAACACTAACTATTTTGTTGACACCCACCTTCATAACATACCAAACACGAACTATTTTGTTGACACCCACGTTCATAACATACCAAACACAACTTTTTGGTGATTGTAGATGAAAAGAAAACATATAAAATTTCTGGTTTCAGTCAAGAAGGAGAAGAACCACAGGTAGTAAACCGCCCAGCCATCCCAGCAGAGAGGCTTTTGTCTAGTTCTGCCAAGTCTTCTCATCTGCCTCTCAGTTTCTCATCAACCAATTCAGGAATGAAAATTGAAACTTTATCAAACGTAATGGGCTTCAATGAAACAAGATGAAACTTCCATAGATCTGTCAATCATGTACAGCCCACCAACAAATTTCTTTAAAATATTTTCAGAGTAATTTTAATATCTGTTTTTTAAGGGTTAACCTCTGTGTTGCAAGTCACCTTCTTAACATACCAAACACAAACTATTTTGTTGACACCCACCTTCTTAACATACCAAACACAAACTATTTTGTTGACACCCTCCTTCATAACATACCAAACATGAACTATTTTGTTGACACCCACCTTCATAACATACCAAACATGAACTATTTTGTTGACACCCACCTTCGTAACATACCAAACACGAATTATTTTGTTGACACCCACCTTCATAACATACCAAACATGAACTATTTTGTTGACACCCACCTTCATAACATACCAAACATGAACTATTTTTTTGACACCCTCCTTCATAACATACCAAACATGAACTATTTTGTTGACACCCACCTTCATAACATACCAAACACGAACTATTTTGTTGACACCTACCTTCATAACATACCAAACACGAACTATTTTGTTGACACCCACCTTCATAGCATACCAAACACGAACTATTTTGTTGACACCCACGTTCATAACATACCAAACACAACTTTTTGGTGATTGTAGATGAAAAGAAAACATATCAAATTTCTGGTTTCAGTCAAGAAGGAGAAGAACCACAGGTAGTAAACCGCCCAGCCATCCCAGCAGAGAGGCTTTTGTCTAGTTCTGCCAAGTCTTCTCATCTGCCTCTCAGTTTCTCATCAACCAAGAGGTGACTGCCTATTAAAAGCCAAAGATTACTATATTTAACATTAGTTTATACTTTAGATAGGTTGGGGATTTTTGGGGTCTTTTAGAATGTTATAACTAACTTGAAAACAATTAGATTTTTAAAAAAAAATCAAAATTAAAACTCTTTTTGGATTTTTTTGTAATGAATGAAGCTAGAGATGTTGACTTTGTTTGTTTTTTTAACATATGAAAACCTGCCATAAAGAATCATTAAGCAAATTGTAAGACCTAAAATCTGAAAATAAGATTTTCCATGACAAATTTTGTTTATAGGAAAGTTATAAAAGAGCCACCTGCTGCTTCTGGAGTCAGCTCGTCGACAGCCAGTGCAACCTTTGACCTCTTGGGCTCCATCATGCAGAACCAGGACCTGCTACACAAAGGGAGTCGTCATGTTACTATCAACAGAGATGGTAGGGCAAGTTTTTTTTTCCTGTTTCTATGTGACTATACATTCAGTTCATTTTTAAAAACGTTTGGATTGATTGAGTTAATCAAATTGCCATATTCAATTTAAGCAATGGTAGCTCTGAATTTTAGTTTATAAATTAGAAATGTAAGGCAGCATTTTCCACTCATGCTCCCTTTGCAAGAATCTCTGATGCAGAAATTGGTTTGTGTTTTTGGGATTAGTTGGTCTTTAATTGACACCTAATTGAATTTTGTGTCTACTTTATTTTGTTTTGTTTTATCAAAGGTACCCTGAGTGCAGCTAAGTCTGAAAGTATCACGCATTTAAAAAAATCCCTGTCCACATCTAATCAGCCGGCTGTTCAAACGTCCCAAAGTTCATCACTAGATGGCGGTGCCACCAGAAGCACCGCCACAGTTTCTTGGTCCAGTGGAAGCCCTCAAGTGTCCAGTTCTCCTGGGTGTGTCTCTAGCCTCAAAGCCAAATCTCCTGATACCAGCCTGTCCAAGCTTCATTCAGGCAGCACAAAAACTTCAACCCCTGTGTCATCTCAACTTGCAGAATTGGAGGCCCAGTTCAGAGAGGTCGCTGACTCAGATGAAGAGCTGATATCTGCGGAATCCGGCCTTGTAGAGGATAAACCTAAAATCACAAAAATATTCAGGGATGGTGTTAATGGAAGCCGGTCGGAATTGAGATTAAGTAGTGAAATAAACCATGAAGTAAGTTATCTTCAGAGTAAGGTCAATGATGAAGTAGGATTTCCAATAAAACAAGAGGATGTGACTGGTGATGAGATGTCCACTGGTGGTTTGGTGAAGGACAGTTCCATGCTTGCTGAAAAATGGAGTGTCAAAGAAGAGGAGGACTTGAGAGGCAAGTCCATGCTTGAACATGCAAATTCAGGTGTCAGATCAGGGGACAGTATTCATGTGGGCGGCATTGGGGAATTCAATGGGCATTACTTGGAGTTGGGTTATCCTGTGAGCAATGATGTTCAAAGCACTTTGGATAAAGACATAGGAAATGAACACAGTGACCTAACTGTGAACTCCAACTCATTGCCAGCCATGTACAACTACAATGAGGTGACCCAGGAGTCTAATCATTTACCTGGTCATAGAGACAATTATGATGGTGGGAACAATTTTAGTGCCCTAAATGGTTCTGTCGGTGGGGAGGAGAAATTTGTGAAGTCAGAAGCTGATTGGTCTGTTGATAAGGAGGAGGGAGAGGCCAGTGATACAGATGATGATGGGAGGCAAGAAGAAGAAGGGGAAGGAGATGGGGAGAAGGAGGAGGGAGAGATTGTGGATGAAGGAGAGGATGGAGAGAAGCTGAACATGGAGGACAGTGGACAAGTTGGTAGTCAATGGCAAGGGGAAAATATAAAGTTAGATGACAGACAAGTGGATGTGTCCAGAAAGCGCTATCTGCCTGAATTAGATGAGGCAGATTTAGAAGGCAACAAGAAGATTAAGCTGGAGGACATGAGGTCCACTGTGACAGAATCCATGGCTGATCCAGTCAGTGATGATGATAGTGATGATGAAGATGTCAATCCCGACAATCCTGTGACTGCATCCTTCATGATGGCCAATTTCTTGCACAGTCTCAAAACCAATGAGTTTGACAGAAAGAGAGAGAAAGCCCTGAGAAAAGAAAGGAGGGATGCAGAGGAGGCTAAGAGTAAGGAAGAGCTGGAGAGGGAGAAAGACAAGGCCAGCCATGTGATCAGTATTTTGGATTTCATAGGCAATGAAAGTGCTAGGAAATTTGGCCTGCCAAGTGTTTCGGTGAAGGAGAATAAACCCAGGGAGTACCGTGGCCCAGTACATCGGAACAATGGTGGGGGGGATGGGGGTGACAGGCTCAGTTACTGGGACAGGAAACAGAATAATTGGTCATCAAGATGGAAAGCTACAGAGGAAGGCGATGCCGTCATGAATGACGGTGTCTCAACAAATAGACCATTTGACAAAAGGCGGTTGTCTGGTCAGCAAGACTACAAACAGAGACCAAGGTCAGGGTCACAGGACAGCAGAGCATTTAGTCAGCGGTCAGGATCACATGACAGTCGGTTGTCCAAGTCAAGACATCGCAGGGATTCAGCCAGAGACAGGAGTGGCAAGGAGAAACGGAGTCCTAGAAGGAAAGATAAAAGAAGGAAAAGTAGAGATGACGAGGACGATAGAAAAAGTAAACAGAGGAAGCACAAAAGAACAAAGTGGAGTAGGAAAGAAGAGTTGAAGGAGGACGACTCCAGCAATGAGGAGGGAAGTGAGAAAAACCTAGAAGTGGATGAGGACCTGTCGAGTGAAAAGAGCGAGAGTGTGACAAATGGTCAACCCCTGATTTTGTCTTCTGAAGGCCCTCCTCTAATACCTGGGCATTATGCACCTCAGTCTGCACCCCACCCCTCATATTATGCCCCACCTCCAGCTGGTTATTCAAATCCACGAGCACCGATTCCCCAGACACATCCCATAAATTATGGACAGCCACCTTATGTTCACAGGCCAACTGAGGCCCCTCCTCATGCCCAGCATCCTCGTCCTGCATATGGTCAGCCAGTTTTCCCTCCCAATTATGGTCAATCTCGATATCCACCTCCAACTCACGGCCTACCTCCACATACCATTCCCCAACAAACACATCCTGGAGCAATACCACAGCACTATGTATCTTCCTATTACCGTCACCCTCACCCAACGGCAGCAGCTACTCTTCCAACAACTGTGGGATCTGTATCACGACCTCCCCTCTCCCATGTTCCACCACTACCTCACACAACTTCACTGAAACCTTCCCACACTTCCCAACACCATCCACATGGACTACAGCGTCCTCATCAACCTGTTGGAGCTCATGTACCTCAGGGATCACACCCTCAGGCACCTCCTCCGCGACATCCAGTTTATGCAGCAGCAACTAGACACCCAGTACCTCACATTCCAGTTACCACACACCCACATGTGGGTTACACAACTCATCCAGCAGTGGCTGCCAACCCGTATGCCTCTCATTTGTCCTCACACTCCGCCTATATGCAGAGACATCCAACATCTCACCAAGGGGCATCAGCTGTTTTAACAGCATATCCTTCAAGCCATCCTGCCAGCCATCCATCCAGCCATCCATCAAACCATCCAGGCGGCCAGCCAGCAAACCATCCAGGCAGCCATCCATCCAACCATCCAACCGGTCATCCTTCTCATCCTGGGACGGCTGGTATGGCTGCACAGAGAAATGCCTATCCCACCACCGTCAAGCAGGAAACAGCCACACGCATCCCCACAACTACACATTTATCACACCAGCGATCAGAGACCTCGACACAGCATTGGTCTGAATCAGCCTCAAATTCTCGTTCAGACTCCCACCGACAAAAAGACTTTTTAAGTTTAAGTCCGAAAGAAGAGAGGAAGCCTTCTAGTTATTGTATCTCCCCACCAAGGAGTACCATCAAGGGGGTGACTACCTATGACAAAGTGGATTCAAGTATTCTCTTAAATGAGGTAACCATAACCACAGCTAAGATACTAAACCTTTTCTCTTAAAACTTTGTCAGTTTATTTGCAACACCTTTTTTTGACAGAATATCCCTTTTTAACCCACAAACTGTGGCACTCATCATTCTGTGGTGTGGAGCTTTTCAGAGCGTTTTGAGTTCCATTTGAAATTGCATTAAATGATAGAAATATTGATACAAGACTCTTATAAGTATATATTTTTAGAAAGGTAAATGGATGGGGATAAAGTTGGCCATATTGCCCACCCTGTAAAAAATTTTGCTTAGTGTCCTTGACCTTGGAGTTCTCAAGGAAAAAAAATAGAAAAAATGTTTTGCTTTCAAGTGCCTATAACATCATTAATTTTTATAGATACACTTAAAACACAAATATAAATGTTGTAGCCAATTCATTTATCGTTCAGAAAACGTATAATTTGCTAAGGTTTTGATTGCAATTGAATTAAACCTCTGAAAGCAATTTTAGTAATTTTAGGTCATTTAAATAAAAATTGGGACCACTGCTAAAACCAAGTACAAAATGCAAAATCTCAGGCAAAATAAGTATTATTGACTAGTAAACATTAAAAAAGGAACTGTGGAACTGATTTGGGTTGTTTAACTATAAAATTTATTAGTTCTGAACTATAATCTGTAGCTTCTGTGACTAAAATTCAGTCAATCCTTGCCCAACCTCCGGGCCTGGCTCAAAGTCTAACAGTAGCCTCGGTAGGCCTACTTCAGTATCACTAAGCCTATTTAAAAATTCACGAGAAGAATAAGCTCAACTGAAATCGTCATGGGGAATGTTAAAATCATCATCAGTATCACTTAAAACCTCTCCTAAAAAGCTTTCAAACATATTTCTATTAGTTCTTGCCCTGAAGGCCCAGCCATGGCTTCAACCATTTTAGCGTTTAAAAAAACAGCGATATAAAACTCCGATTAAAAAGTATTTGTTTTTAAGTTATCACGAAACAGCTTGAACCTGAAGATGATTTCATTATTAATAAAAGGAAGTGGGTATAATTCCAGTTAAATATTGGATTGGAAGTTGCTATCGGACCGTGTTTTTTATGGGCCAATTTTTCCGGCCATCACAGTACAGAATGAGAATGTCAGCCGATTTTTTTCGGCCGACCACAGTTCGTGGGTTAAATA